ACCTTGAAGCAGGACTGTCCCACAGTATTCCTTTTCCTGTCTCTTGCTTTCATTCACCACCCCCTTCTTCTTGAACATCCACCTACCCGAGAGACATCTAGTTACAACTAAGTATAGCTTGTTACTTAGTTTATAGGATCCAATACAAAAATAAATTTCAGTGTTCTTTTGCAAAAATTAAAATTTCAAAGACAATAACAACAAAGCATTAAAAGAAGCACATATTCCTTCTAGGCATAGGTCCACTGGAGAGGCAGACACTGCACCCTCATGAGGTAAGCCAGGCCTCTGGGTCACAAGTCACTTAATCTGTTCTAGAATTTTATTTAGTGCTTGAAGAAGAAGAAACTTAATAGGGAAATACAGATGTGACAAAAACAAGTAAATTTTATTACATCACCTAAAAATACTGCTTTGAGACTTGTGTATGCTAGTATTTAGAAAAAATTTTCACCCAATAATCATAAGTATTAATTTAAAAAATTCAAAGATTATTGACACATTTCATGAACAAGTAGAATTTTCCCAATCAGCATGTTTTTACTATGAAGAAGGAAGCAACCCTTTTTCTCACCCTTAATGCAAAAGAGCCTCAAATATTTTACTTTAAAAAAAAAAACTGATTTAGGAAATAGAAGCTTGTTAGACAAGATTTTCACCCTAAGAAGCCACCCTGCAAAACAAAGTACTTTTTAATAAGTAGAATTTCTTAATTATGGGTAATTAGCTTTCTAGTTGGATTTAATTAATTGCATGAAAAAGACAGGAAATAAGTGATATTTGAAACTTACATTTTCTTCATGCTAATGAGTGCATATTTTGGAGTCATTGCTATAAATAATCTATTTTCTCCTACTCAGGGGTCTAGCTCTTTCATTTTAAAAATGTGAAGTTTCAGCTAATTGAGGTCTGAATGCTCTCTCAGCCATAATTGGACTCAACATTATTTATTGATAACACTATATGCAAATTCCTGTACAGGGATCTTTAGGATATTCAGAATAAGCCACAGCTCCTGGCCAAGGATAGTTTACAAACCTAAAACTGACATAAGCAAGGGAAGTAATAATTACAAAGTGAGACACTTCCAAAATTTTAAATATTTAATTCTAAAAACAAAGCAAATATAATAAAGATAAATAGAAACTTCCAAGTTTTGGGTATAAGATAAAATTAATGGAGTGGGAGCATCAGGTACTAATTAATCTCATTTTAAAAGCCAATATAGATTTAAGAACTTAGGAGAAATCTGGGCAGCCCACAGGAATCTGGTAAGCTGTGAAACACGGCCTTCAGTGCATAGGCATGGAGCTTCCCTGGTGCCTACACAGCCATTTAAGAATGTAGGAGGACTCTGGGTGGCACACCGGACTCTGGTGAGCTGTAACCCATGGGTCCCAGCATGCACAGGAGTGGAGCTTATGCTGATGCCAGTCAAATCATTTAAGAACTTAGGAGGACTCTGGGTACTCTGTGGTATCCTGGTGAATCGAGCCCACATTCACTACCTGCACAGAAACTTTGGAAAGCATCAACCAGTTGTCCCCAGGAGTAGAGAGGGTCTTGATGAGTCCTACCCTGCTCTCCACGGTAGTGGAAACCTTACTAATGCATGCTGCACTGGTCTCCCACCATTGCTGAGTCCAGGTGATTGTTAGGAGCTTCAAAAATTCCAAAACACAGGAGCAAAAGGCAATCTCAATCCTTCAGTCAACCCAGAACAAGTCCAAGAGACAAGAACATAGAAAATTTCAGGTCACACACCTTAAATTTCTGAAATGATAGCAACTAAAGTAAAGAAACAACTCCATCAGGCAATGGAAAAATATTATCAGAAATAATCTATCATGTCCAAAAACAAATGACAACAATAGTGAAAGAATTGCTCGGCACAGCTAAAGAAGACAAAGATTAAAAAACAGAGGAGAATAGAAAAATGATGGAAGCACTGAACAAACAATACAAGAAAGAATTAGAATGTGTAAAACAGATTCAATAGATATCCACAAAATTAAGAATTCCATTGAAATTTGGCAAAGCTGATTGAATGAAACTGTACATAGACCTTCAGACCTCAAAGACAGTGGTACAGCTAATGAATGTGAAGGGAAGTATCTCTTAAAACTGAGAAGAAACCAGGAAATAACAATTCAGCAGCTACAAGATGATGCAAAGAAAAATAATATAAAAGTAATAAGTGTCAGGGCTGGCCAAATAGCTCAGCGGATTAAAGCACCTGCAAGCAGGTACAGGGGCCTGGGGTTCAATCCCTGGGCCTGATGTGCTGGCTCTGTCCCCAGGGCATGCTGAGACAGTGACTTAGACTGGGCATGGTGGCACACACCTATTATCCTAGCGGTTGGGAGGCTGTAAACAGGCGGATTACTATGAGTCTGATCTAGTAGTGAGACCCTGAACACCCTGTAGACCCTCCCCTAAAATACAAAAAAAGAAAAAAAAAGGATAATAGGTGCCAATGAAACAGTAGAAGTCAGCACACATGACATAAAAAGACTATTTTCAGAAGTAATTGCAGAAAAGTTCCCAAGCATGAGCAAAGAATCTGACATACAAATAAGTGAAGAATGTAGAACTCCAAATAGCCATAATCAAAATAAATCTACACCTAAACACATGATAATCAAGATATCAGAAATTCAACAAAATAATAGAATATTAAAACCTGTTAAAGCACCAGATCATCTGCAATGGAAAGCCCATCAGAATCACAGCAGATTTCTCAAAACAAACCTTCAAGAAGAACTTGGAGTAAGTGAATTATTTCAGGTCCCATAAGAAAATAAATTCCAACCCAGATTAAATTCCAACCCAGATTAATGTACCCTGCCAAACTGTCTATCAAATTGAGTGACAAGATAATATCCTTCAATGACAAAGAACAATTGAAGAAATTCATGAGCATGAAATCAACCCCACAAAGGGTACTGAAAGATATTCTATAAAGAAATAGAACAACCACAGCTTCAAGAGCAACAACAGAAAAGAATCACCAAGTAGAGCAAGAAATTAAAAAGAGGGGAAAATAATGGCATCTATAGCAGGAAAATTATATGAAAAAGACAAGCCAACATATATCAGTTATAACTACCAATGTAAATAGCCTCAATTCAACAATGAAAAGAAACAGACTGGCAGAGTGGATTAAGAAACAAAGAAACAAAATCCAACAATATGCTGCATACAAGAAACATATTCAACTCCAAAGAAAATTCACAGATTAAAAGTCAAAAAATGGAAAGCAATTCTTCATGTCACAGGAAGCCAGAAAAAAGTAGAGCTAGCTATAGTGGTTGCTGACAATATCAATTTCAAACCAAGAGTGATTGAATGATATAAAGTCAGTACATGCTTGTTAGGGGAAAACTGTAAGAGGAAGAGATAACAATTATAAGCATGTATGCACCCAATATAGGATCACCCACTTACATAAGACAAATTTTAGCAGATATAAAAAATCAAATGAACAAT